ACAATAAAATAGACTAAATATAACATATCTAAAATTATATATATAATTAAAGTAATATAATATTATAATATAAATTAGACATACAAACTATAAATTAATTTAAAAATTAAAGTAAATATCAATCAATTATTATTGTATATTTATTTTATAAATATACATACCCGTGCATGAGCACGGGAAAATCACCTAGTATATATATAGTTGGGTTATTCCATTATATCTAGCTCAAACTTTAGTGTAATTCACCCCAAAGTTTTTACGAGATTAATTAACCGTTTAGTGTGACATGCTTTTAGCAGGCCCATGTGTTATGTAAGGAATCTCTATAATATTATTTGAGAAGTCACTTTCTTAGGTGTCGCGTTCACGTTAACTCTCACACTGGTTGATTACTATGATATCCCTTATGAATTAAAAATATAATTAAATATTATTTCCCTTTTAAAAATTACCAAATAACAATATAAAATAAAAAAGAAACATTTATAAAATTTACAAAACCATTTAAAAACGAAAATATAAGTATATATAATATGGTTTAATAAAAAAAGGAAAGTTCACAAAATAGTAATATTTAATTTAAATATATTTTAAATAACATAAAATATACCTTTGAAGTAATAAAATACTTTATATCTATATCTTCTTAGATAAAAAACAATATATGTATATAATGTGATTTCATAAAAAAAATCACACAAAAAATATTGCTATTAGAAAAATAAATATTTTTTCTTTATATATATATTTTCAAAATAATTATTTTTGTATATATCTATTTATTTTATTAGATGATTACATAAAATAATCAACTAACATAAACTGATATATGTTTAATTGACATTTTTTTATAATTAGTATTATTGAAATTATTTATTTAGTATATTTATTTGACTACAATATCTTACAATTACAGTAAAAATATAAATTTTATTTACTTATATATTATAATTTCTCAAAAACAATCACTTTTTACTGACTATTTTAAGAGATACTAAAAATAAAACTAAAAATAAATTTAACAATAAACATCTTTTGATCAAGTAACTACAATTATTTTAAAATATCACAACACTATAACGTGGTAGATATATTATATTTTAATAGATAAAATTATCTGTTTTAAGAATAAGGATTCTGATTTACTTAAGTATTTTGATTATGGTTATATTAAGTTTCACAAACATAAAAACAGAAAATAACTACAATTATTTTAAAATACTATAACATTACACAATTTAACAAGGTAGATATATTATATTTTAATAGTTAAAATTATATGTTTTCTTAATAAATCTTTTGATTTTTAATTTTGTGTTTTTATGTTTGTGAAACTTAATATAACTATAGTCAAAATACTTAAGCAAATAAGAATCCTTATTTTTAAAATTATTTAAAATAAATTTCAGTTTACCATCCAATCAATCTAAAGCATAAATTTGTTTCGAATTTATAAAATATTTTAATTCTTGTAAATATTGATATGTGTTCAAAAGCTTCTAAAAATTCATTAGTTACTTATGTATGTAATTTAGAATCAGACACTTTAGTTTTTATTTTATTTTCCTTCTAAGCACAAAAAAAATCTTAAGTTATATATAATCTTATTAAATATACTTATATTTCTAAGATAACAACCAGCATAAATGCAAATAAGACAATTAATTAAAAAATTAATATATTTAAGATATAAAATATTATAGTTGAATTCAGAGAAATAGATAGAATCCAATATATCTAAATGATAACTAAATCGACCGTAAAAACAATAAAATAGACTAAATGTAACATATCTAAAATTATATATATAATTAAAGTAATATAATATTATAATATAAATTAGACATACAAACTATAAATTAATTTAAAAATTAAAGTAAATATCAATCAATTATTATTGTATATTTATTTTATAAATATATATGCCCGTGCATGAGCACGGGAAAATCACCTAGTAAATAATATTTGGCTTGCTTGACAAACAAGATTCGCTGTAGCACTCTGGTTTATTTCAATTGCAAATCGAGATACGGAGTTCGCTCCTGTTCACTTTGTTGAATTCTGGGTTTGAATTCCGGCAGCGGTATTTTTGTATTTAATTTTAGTTGGGTTTTTTTTTTTTTTTTTGTCAACAACCCATTGTTACTAGATCAAGTGGTAGTCACACGAACCGATTCCTCGGGGGTACTTCCTTGTGACCGGGTCTGATTTATATGGGAAAATGTAAATTCTTTCTTCCTTGCTTCCTTGGTGAGTGCGTCCGCACGACCAATCCTACAACGGGGAATATGAGATAGACTCACATCTTCAAAGACCTCCAGAGATTGTTGGAGTATCTCGATCTCTGTCACGAAATTTGGCCAGTCCTCTGGGTTGATCGCCATGTCTACAAGATCCGAGCAGTCCGTTTCGATCCGTACCGCTGATATCCTCAAGGCTTGTAGGCATGAGACTGCCCAGAGTAGTCCTTCCATCTCTGCATGCAAAGCTGATAGGCTTCTGTTACATGCTCGTAGTCCGAAGTGTTCAGCACCCATGTGATCCTTACAACTCCATCCTAAGTCACTGACACTACCATTATCGATCCATGATGCATCGATTTGGCAGGTTGGGAGTCGGAGAAGCCTAGGGGGTTTTGTCACTGTCTCTAATGGAGGAGGAATCGCAAGGACCTTCTCATCTTCCTCGCTCTCGTTTGCCTTCCTCCAACATTCTGCCTCTAAAGATGCATGTTGGAGGGTATTCATCGGGAAGACGACTTTTCCATTGAAAAATTTGTCGTTCCTTGCCTTCCAGATATACCAACAGATCCATGAGAAGATATCGAATTGTGGTCTCCGAGGAGATCTAGTATGTTATTAAGGTGGGTTTTAGTTGGGTTTTAAATGGACTACAACCGAATATTTGTTCATGTAAGTGATTAAAACTATAGGAAGTGATCTGGTATGTTATTAAGGTGTAGAAGTAAAAAAAAAAATCGTGAAGGTCTTCTGTGTTGTTATAGTGTTTACTGTTATGTTACTATACGTTTTTCACTGTAATATCAAATGATTTAGAATTAGATTAGGCATAACCATAACTAAAATAATTCTTAAAAATATTTTGTCATCATTAATTACATATTCACTATTAATGATGTGTAAATATATTCACAAGTAATAATAGGTTCTGAATCTTTTACCATCATAAACTTTTGCTATAGCAATTATATATTTAAGAGTCATTGACTAAATTGTAGTAATAATAATTTGTCTTTTATTAATGTACCTATACTAACCTAATCTATTTTCAATAAACTGACTTAGGAGTGGACACTGATCGTATGTATACCAATTTGGATTCGCTAAATTTTAAATTTTAAATTGTGCACTGATTTCTTTTCAAAATATAAATTACTAAAACTATTTAATATCCCACAGTAAAAAATTTGTTGTTAGTGATTTAAAGTTTTTGGTAGAAAAAGATAGAAATGATCAAAAAACATATATGCAGAAAACATAATATAATATGTAAAAATACATATAGTACGTAAACATAAATATATATCATGTTTATACTGCCCAAAATGCGGGTCTTACCTTGTTAGTGTTATCGAGTTAGCATTGAACTTGGTGTATATATACATGAATTTTTATTTTTAAAAATAAGATGTAAAATAATGTTTTGGATAATACAATATAAATTATTTTTATATACAATTATCAAATAATGAATTTGTTTTTTTATTTATAATTAGTTATATATTAATAAATATAATTATTTTTAAAGTTGATAATTACGACTTTATAACACAATCTCTATAATATTATTTGAGAAGTTAGTTTCCTACGTGTCGCGCTCACGTTAACTCTCACGATGGTTGATTACATAGATACCCTTAATGAATTGGTAGATTTTAAGATTATTATTTTTTATTTAGTTTCCTTTTTAACTTTTTCCAAATAACATATATAATAAAAAGGAAAAATTTCTAAAATATTAAAACAAATTTAAAAACGAAAATATATGTATATAATAAGACTTTATTAAAAAGGAAAGTTCACAAAATAATAATATCTCCATTAATATATATTTTTAAATAATATAAAATATATTTTCAAAATAATAAAATTATATATGTTCATGAACATTCAAAAATTTATTAGTTACACTTTATTTTCTAATATTATTTAGAAGTTAACACATAATTTGATAAATATTATGAAAATACATGTATATTTAAACGATAAATAAAACTAATTTGGATTTGACTTAACTAAAATAAAGAGTAAATAAATATTATAAAAATACATGTATATTTAAGCGATAAATAAAACTAATTTGATTTGACTTAACTAAAATTAAAAGTATTTATACTTCAATTTTAAATTTAAAAATATATTTAACTCAATATACTCACAAAATGAATGACTCGACTAATCTAATTTATATCCAAAATTAAA